GAAGATGGAAGGAGGGCACAGCGCGAACTTTATTAGAGAAATCATGGTTTTTCCTTTAGTCAGGGGATGACCCACCACCAGTGGTGAACGAATTAACGTACAGATATATCAACCTTAAAAAAGCATACAATTGCACACGGATGTGTGACTGGTTGGATGATGGGACAAAAATACAAAGGAGCAGAAGTGAATGACTAACAGATTAATCAAGAGGACAAAACGAGACTATATGAGAAAATTAACTCAACATGAAAAAAACAAGTTTCTACAGGCCACTTAAAACATAGCGGAGGAAGGACACTAAGTGCTGGTCCCCTGGAGAGTGAGATTGAGCAGTTAATCACAGAGAATTACGAAATGAAAGCAGCATCAGGAGGTATTTATTATCTACCTTTACTGAGGAGGACACAAAAAAAATCCAATGGGAGATGTAAATCAGGAGGTGGAATGGATGCAGGAATCTGGTGAAATTATATTCAGTAGGGAAGTATTACTGAACACACAGATAGAGCTGTGGGTATGTGACACCTCAGTTCCTAATGGATTTCATGACAGGGTCTTATTGCAGTACTAATGCGGCAGTACGTTTGTTGGTGTGAATTTTTCAAAGTTCCCAAGATGCAGGAAATGTTCCATCGTACTGAAAGTAACACATATACTGTCTCTATTCAAGAAGGGAAACTATAGGAGAGTTAGCATGACATCTGTCAAAGGGACACTGTTACAATTGCTTCTCTCTGTGCACCTGTAATGCTCGTGAAAAGAGCCAGCTTGATTTTTGTAAGGAGAAATCATGTTTAGTTGGTTTATTAGAAATGTTCGAAGGAGTAATGAAGGATAAAGGGCAGGTTACTGATGCACTGTACCTGGATTAGACAGAAGGCATTTGCCAAGTTGCCACATCATGGTGATTGTGCAGGATCGAAACTCATGATATAGGGGTAAGACATTAACATGTATAGAGGATTGGCTAGCTGGCAGCAAACACAGCAGTTGCATTAGTTCTCATTTCTCTGATTGGCAGAAAGAAACTGCAGAAATCCAGTGTATCTGGGTGTTCTCATGCAAGGATCCCATAAAGCTATTACGCAGCTAAATCACATCACCAGAAATGGAACTCGGATCCTATGCCGTGTGCTTTATTATAAAATCAATTGGGTACACTGTATATCTAAGTAAGGACGCTGTGCTCTCTTGACACACTGTCTGTATTTTCGATCTTGTTATCTCCGGAAGAATGTAAATGTGCTGAATGAGGCTTGTGAGATCGATACCTGGACTGGGCGGGTTGTCTGATAAGGATTGATTTTTCAGGATGAACTTGTTTTCACTGGAGTTTAGAAGAGTGAGGGGTGATGCCTGCTTTAGATTGGAAAAAAATGCATGAATGAATGGGAGCAAAAGGACTTTTCCAAGATTGAGCACAGCCCATACTTCCCTGAGAATTGGAAAGTCTTGCATTCCAACTGCTCAGATTGAGCTTAATGACTGAACATCCCTTCCTCATAAACAATATTCTACAAGCTGCTTTCTAGAAATGGGAAAATAAATCACAAACCAAGCTATTTCCGTAATGGACAAATGTTTGGCTGAGTTAGCCTGACACACTCTCGAAGTGCATCTGACAGAATCACCGTGGGTGATATTATAGAACTCACACATCATTCCTGATGACAGATCAGGTCTGGGAGGCAGTTCCTTTTGGTTCAAATTCAAATTAAAATTTACGAAGGCATTTGTTCAAACAGTAGGGGAAGCTTGTTATTGGTGTGACCTATGCTCGGCAAAAAATGACGCGTCCATGGAGGAGGCTGGGTGTGTTTGAAATAAGTCAAGCAAAGAGACTCACCTGACAATTGGATTCTCACTGGCCAACTTCATTGACAAGGACATTTAATTTCCATGGAGCATGAAGATGGTGTGCATGATTCTCAGTTTTAAATATCACTTGTAACTATTCCACATTGCATATGTTCCATTGCATTCACATCTGCATCAGCCTTTGTTGATGAAAGCATCAAATGATGAATTTAAGGTGTTTTAAAGGTTCACCTGGAAAAGGACAGTTATATAAAGTAAAGAAAGTATTAACCTCCAAACAATAGTTAATCATCTGTAGGCTTGCTTGGTATCCTTCAAGACACACAAAGCCTTTGCATAATGGTTTTCTTGTAGAAGTTTACTGCTAAGTTTCTTGAGTAGATATGTATCTTGGGTTGTAATTGCTATGGTTGGTTCGCTCGCTGAGCTAGTTCATTAGTTTGCTGACATTTCATTACCCTGCTGGGCAACACCATCAGTGCAGCCACCGATGAAGCATGGTTGTGTTTTCCCATTGTTTTTTAATCTCTGGCGTCTGTTGGATTTGATTACCTCAATTTCCGGTTTTTCTTTGCAGTTTATAGGTGTGTATATAGGGTCTAATTCTACATGTTTATTGATGGCCTTCTTGGTGGAAAACTTGCTTGCCTCTGATTAGCTTGTCCTAGGATCCCGATGTTGTCCCAATCAAACTAGTGGTTCTCCTTACTGTGTGTGTGTGGAGACGGGTGATAATTGGTCTTTTGTTTTTGTTGCTAGTTGGTGTTCATGTATTCTCACAGCCAGTTTCCTTCCTGTAACGTTTGTTGCAGTCATTGCATGGAATCTTGTATATTACGTTGGTTCTGTCCACAGTGGATAAGAGGTCTTTGGCTCTTGTTAGCAGCTGGTGTAGCATTGATGTAGGTTTGTGTGCTACTCTGATGCCCAGTCACCATAAGAGTCTTATGGTCAGTTCTGACACATTCTGGATGTACGGTAATGTGACAAGTCTGTTATTTCTTCCTGTTATTTGTGTGACACGCATTGTCGGACCCAGCTGTTCGGGTGTGAGGTGACCAAATCCAATGCACACCAGAGTTTAAATAAGAAGCGGGAAAACACAACAGCACTTCATCAGAGGCTGCACTGATGATGTTACCCAGCAGGTTAATGAAAAGTCTGCAACTCACAAACCAGTTCGGAGAGCGATCCAACCACAGAATTTAAATGCTTCTCCTTGAAAGCCCTTACCCTCTCACAAACCTGTGAGTTGTTCAGACATTGAGCGCTGGATGTCTGTAGCTATTTAGAGGGAGTTGGCTGTTCTTAAAACATTCAACGTAGAATAATACAGAACAGGAACAGACTCTTCACACCAATATGTCAGCTCCGACAATGATGGTATTCTGAATTAATCTTTCTGCCTGTGCATGGTCTATATCCGACTATTTTCTGCCTGTCGATGTGTATGTCTAAATGCCACTTAAACGTTGCTGTTGTATCTACTTCTGCCACATCTCCTGGCAGTGCATTCCCAGCAGCCGACAAACTATCCTCATACACTTGCATTAAACATTCACCCTCTCACTTTAAAACAATGCCACCACTATTTGGCATTTCCACCCTGGATAAAGACTCAAACTCTCCATCCTGTGCAAGTTCCTCAGAATTTTGTATTCATCTGTTCGGTCACCCTTCAGCATTGAATGCACAAGTGATGACAATTGAAGCTTGTCCATACTCTGCTTACAGTTAACACGTTCCAGTGTGGTCCACATCCTGATAACCCTCTTCTGCACTCTCTCCAAAACATTCACATCCTTCCTATAGTACAGCAACAAGAACAGCACACACTAATCCAAGCGTGGCTGAACTAAAGTTTTACACGGTTGGAGCATGATTGCCAACTTTTATCATCAATACAAGCACGCCCTATGCCTTCTTCTCCACTTTATCCACTTGAGTTGCCACTTTCAGGGAGCTATGGACTTACATCCCAAAATCCTTTAGTGTATCAACGCTCTGAAGCTCCCTGACATTTACTGTATGTTTCCCTCTTATTTGACCTCCCAAAATGCATTGTCTCACAGTTGTTGCCATCTCCAGTTTTTCTGCCCAAATTTCCAAACGATCTGTAACGTTCTGCATCCTTTGATGTTCTACCTCATTATCCACAATTCTAACTATTTTTTGTCATAATTTTCTTGAATGACATGTAAACAAGTTCAACATTCACATACAAGCAAATCGGAAGGCCACATTGGGAGGATTGTGTACCATGTTAATCGCGCTACCGGGGGTGGGGTATACTCACTTTGGAGATGATAGACTCAAGTTTTTGTTCCTTGAGTCAGTGGTTGCCCTCTGTGGCAAGTGGGAGAATGGAGATGTGCTCACTGGAGCTTCGATGAGTACAACATGATCCCTTTGAAACAAATCCAAATCTGACAGATCATTAGGAAAGATACTGAGAGGCAGTGTTGGCCCAATGAGGCAAAGCAGGATTTGTATTACAGTCACAGGTTTATGGAATGGCCATTTTAGACAGATTCGGAAGAAGTGGCATTGTGTGGTGAGTTGAGAAACATTAGCAAAATTTTTCGTTCAAGTATTTCCAATCCTCAATTACTGAGGTTGAGAACAGAAGCTTTTCAACACCACGGACATCAGGAAATGCTAGACTCTGGGTGGAGAGTCAACTTGAGGTCAAATGTCAGCCATGACCTCATTGAATGATGCTGCAGGCTCATGGGGAGGCCACATGATCTATTCCTTTCCCTTGATGTTAGTTTCTTATTCCCAAACTCTCGATTCCCTCGCTCAGATTCCCAATCCCCTCAACCTGCAAGATTACCAAGATCCTGATTGTTTCTCTCAGATTTGCAATATCCTAATCCGACCAGATTAACAATCTTCTGATTTTTTTGCTCAGATTCACAATCTCCTCATCATGCAAGATTCCCAAACATCCGATTGTGTCTCCCAGATTCCCAATTTGATAACACTGGATTGGAACAGTCAGTTCTAAGAGAGTACCCAGAGCATCCTCACAGTTAAACACTGTCCATAAACATCTCCAAATCCAAATCAATATGCAACAATCAGAAGGAAACAATTCATGCACTTAAAATAGTTTTATTAATTTCTGTTTATCTTTGCAGACATAAATATTAATATAAATAATATAAATACACCTATTGATAAATACAATTAAATAATAATTTATATCAATCTGAAACCTCTTATACTTGACAATATTATTGCCACTGAAAGACACCTATATAACAGATGTTACAGTTTTACATGAAACATTGAGTTTGGTCGATGAACTGCAATTAAATTTCAGCTGTCCAACATTCGAGATGAAAAATCTTTCGGCATGCAGAACCAATCAGGTTTATCACTAGGATCACTGTGTATTACCCAGACTGAAGGATGACCAATGGAGACTACACACACTGAGGGAAAGTGGCATTTCCATTCAGGAACAATCTCAACAATTACCCTTAGATCAGAGCAGCAAATAGGCCACTCCGACATCAACTGCAACTAAGCAGAAGTAAACCAATCTGTCACTTCAAATTGTGAATAATCAACATTTATTGAGCCAAATTCTTAGTGTTTGCTGAATATTGTTTCACCATTTTAATTACAGTGTTGACCATACAGATACTCGACAGGTAAAGTCCTACGAAGACTTGACAAATCACATTGTGGAGACAGAAAGCCAATGCATTGCTGGGTCTTGCTTTGGCCTTCATCACCCTGCAGCTAAATAAATCATCTTACTTTGTTTTCACAAAGATATCAGTGATTCATTGGAATACAAATTGTTCATGAGGAATACTCCATATTCTTCAAGGACCAGTACCTGGTCTCAGGGAATAACCAGTCTAAATATCAGACCCGGGATCCTGGTTCCTTCCTCCTGTGATAGCCAAATAACTCTCTATTAGGAGTACCAATTTCAATAAAATGAGCAACAGAAAACACAACTTAAATAAGAAATAAATTAAAGAACCTGTAACGCTTTGCATTCACATCAATAAGAATCAGTAGTTTCGGAAGGCAATTTCTATATAACTGTCTTAAAGAAGACAATGTGTCTTTGTCAGTTTGCACTGAATTTCAATTTGAAATTCTTGATCAGTCATTGATAACCAATGGAAATGACATGGGATTGTTACACAGCAAATATTCCAAAGAAACTCTTTCCTTCGGTTGTGTCTACATATCCCGTTGCATCCTCATTAACCCTGGAGAAGATCTGATCTCCCTCTAGAAACTCAAAGATGGCTCCCTGGTAGGAGGTTTTGTACCAGGGCTCCCTGCGTTGGCGAGAGTGGCAGGCAGATTTGGTGGCTTTCAGCAGAATGGCTTCGTCAGGATAACTTGGCGACTGCTTGGCGAGCTCATGGCTGAGGTAGTTGGCCTGTTGCTCACAGCCCATGCTGTGGAAGACCACCTGAGTATAGACAAAGTACTGTCCGGGCCTCTTGATGATGAGACTGTTGTCCCTGAACTCCACCCCCTCAGTGAAAGTGGAGTCACTCAAATTCTGCCAAATTATGTTTTCTTTTTCATTCCTTGCTGAAGCTGAGGGGGAAGGGGAAAGGAGAGAAAGAAGACATCATGAGGATCGAACAAAGACAAAGATACCGCCTGCATTTATGTAGCCCAAGTCATGACCTGGGATATGACAAAACATTTTACAACCAATGATATGTTTTTGATGGAAAGACTATGCTATTGCAGGAAATGGAGAAACCAATCTGTGCACAGCAAGATCCCACACCTTACAATGTCAGAGAAACTGGGTGGTCTGCATCCTAATTATTCACTCGAGGGCAATTATCACACTGGCACATACAGAGAAGCCGATCACAGAAAGATTTTAACCCTTGTGTCTGTGCTATCTCTGTGTTCAGATGAACAAGTTCACTCCAATTCCCTTCCTCTTTGCCCGGAACCCTATAATCTCCTGCTCTCCTCCTGTGGTGCTCTCTCCACATTGCATTATTGATAAAGTAATTTGATGTCTTCCCCGCCCTCCCTTGCACCTTCCCAGCCACTGTGGACTATTCTCCAGAGAATGCAGTCACATTGAGAACAGTTCTGTACCTGTCAGGTGAGCAGCGATTCTCGGCCGTGGGCCACTCCCCACTTGCTTCATGAGACGAGGCAAACCTGGAAATGGAAAGGTTGGAAGATCAGTCACTATTGTATCACCCACAGAGCTCAGACTGACAAACACCGAGGGAGAGAGAGAGAGAGAAAGAGAGAGGGGGAATGAAGAAGAGACCCATACACAGGTGGGCTGATGAGACAGCAGAGTGAATGAGTTGAAAATGGAAAAGCCTGGAGAAACTCAGCAGGTCTGGCAGCCTCTTTGTTAGGAGGCTCAGAGTTAAGTCCAATATCACTACAATCTGACAGAGTTTGCTCGAACGATAATGACTCAGGAAAATAGATAGAGAAATGGCTCAGCATAAGATTGACAAATGAAGATAGATGCAGCAATGTTAGGAAACGTGTCGATGAAAAGACTGAAATATTGACAAGCATTAACACAGAGGCAGAGGGAGATATTGCTAAGAGAAAAAAATAATGATAACGATAACATTTACCGCTGGTCTGAGCAGCTGTTGACAGCAATGGACTGGCAACTTGCAATGTTGATCTTGAATCCTGAAGAAATTTTAAAAAAGACAGATGTTAAGGTGTGAAATTTGCTAACAGGAGTTGGTGATCAACTCAGGTCTACAGGTAGCTGGTTTGTATGATCTATGAACAAGCTCACTGCACTGCACAAGCTCTACACATTGTAAAGAGACACAGTAGTGCAGAGAGACACTGTATTGGAGGGGGACACTGTATTGTAGGGAGACACTGTACTGTACGGAGAAATTACTTTGCATAGAGACGCTGCCTTTTACAGTCACTACGTTGGACTGCAAAGTACAGACAGACTATTGTCCATCCATACTGTGTAGAGCCACACGCTGGGGCCTTTCAGACCGGTGTATCTCCATTCGAGGCTGACAGCAGTTAGTACCTGCTTATCCTTTGGTAGCACCAGCAGAACTGACTGAGAAATCCGGGTTTATTTGGCGTTTACCATCGAGCAGTTCAAACAGTCCCCTGAGCTAACACTGGGGACTTAGCAGGGTTGAGGAGAAAATCGCTCGGTATTTGCTTCGCTGTTGAGAGACAGCAGCTAAAGTACCGGCCTGGAACGCAGGTCCCTGTTTGCCTACACACTCACAGCAGCAACTGAGACTGAAATCAGTTCCCAGTTTGACCCCACCGCTTCCAAACAACCCCCTCTGCCGGAGCAATGCCAGGGGCAGGCTGGAACCCGATCCCTCTATTCTCCAAAACGCAAGATCCTCACTCACCT